AGATATTAAATCAAGACCATAGTAATAAAGCTAGATACAAAAAGGGGCTCCCGTCACTGACCCCTTCTGGCAGTGTCCAGCTGCACTGGTAGCTGACCACTATTATGGCTCATTAGGAAAAATTACAGTAAAATCTTTAAGAGCTCAACAAGAGTTTTTAGATTCCTTAGCTAAAATTGTCCTTCAAAGTCACCATCCTCTCCATTTTCTTATGGCTAAAACTAGACGGACTTATGACAAAATATCAAACTTACAGACAACCTCCATCAGTAGAGGGGTCTCAGAGCCAGGGGGTTACAATTGCTATTTCAGTCCCTTATGAACAGTTTCTAAACATGCTCTTTCCCCAACCTGCCTTTCTATTCTAGTGCTCATTCTCTGATTATGCATGCTCTAATTTCTTGAAAAAAATGTTTATTCTTGCCTAGAGGCCACCAAACTCTTAAGTGATCATACAGATGGAATCAACAAGCGTGCTAGACTCCTTTTACTGGGATCCACCAGATCAAACTTGTAAAGAAAGTTCATAACTATTAAACTACAAAATGACTTCTATCTGAAGCCCATTAGGTTAGCTCTCTGGAGAGGGCCCCTGATTGTGGTCTCCCCTACATCGAGCCTTCTCAGCTCAAAGCAGTTAGATGAAAACTATGCCCCTTCTCTCCTAACTGTAGTTAGGGATACTTCTTTAGAGGGGAGAATATTGTAGAAAGCTAAGTTAGTTGATACATTATAGGCAGTTAGACAGGGCCAGGTCCTCAAGGGAGTCATTACAGAAGGCAATTGAGGCCCATTTGGTGAAGGCCAAGATTCAAAAAACAGGAACTACTACACTCACAGGCTTCCCCTAGGGATGAACATTTGTAATTGATATGCTAAATAGGCATCAATCACCTTGGGTGGGGACCAAAACCTCCTTAGCCCATTCCTTCCCAGAAAATCCTTGTTTACTCCAGGTAGGCTTGTTATGTGACTTGCTTTCTTATTTGATCCCATTTAATCAATATCACCTAAGTGACTACAGTTGTTGTGATCTTATTGGCTGACCACAGTTTTTTCCCACCTCATATCCACCTTGTGATTTCCCATTGGCTCAATATTACCTAAGCCACTGTACTTTTAATCTTATTAGTTGACTACAGTTTTGTCCTAACTTGAACCTGCCTTACCTCATGGCTTTGCTCAATAAAACACCCTTGAGAAGCTTTGAGAAGTGAGGTTGGTTGGCTACCCACTTTCCATACACTCTTATGTCTCTGTTAAACAGAAGCTCTTTCTCTCTATAAATTCTTCCTACTCTTAACCTCCATTATTCTTTGAATTCATTGTTTGATTTTAGAAAACACAAACTTAGTATTTTGGACATTCAGCAGGTTGGGAGTTATAATATTTCCATTATATAATTTGGAGGTCCATATATCATATTCTCTATATCAATAGTGGCAGGTAAGTAGAAAGAGAAAAAGAGGAGCCAAGGAGGGAGATAAACCCTTCAGACCACACTCCCAGTGACCTGCCTCTTCTGAATGGAACTCACCTCCTAACAGTAAGCTGCTATAAGGTCCCATAATCCAATCATGTTCTCAAATTTCTGCCTGTGAATTCATGAGGTTCTTGGGAAACATCTATATACAAACAATAACACATCAAATATCCTTTCCTATGTGAATTTCTCTAGACTATCAGACTGAGATCAGAATAAAACTAAATTTTATTATGTTATTTTTTTAGCACTAGAAAGGCTCAAACATAAAACATACATAACTTGGAAAACAAATGATTTCACCAAATCTGCCATAAAAATCCCAGTCTACTTCAACATTTTATGCACGATTGTCAGCTATTTTTAAAATTTTTAATGGACACATAATGTATACAGCTATGGACCTCAATGTGATATTCTGATATAGAAACACTGTATAATGATCAAATTAGGGTACTCAGCATATCTATCATTTAAGACATTTAGTATTTCTTTGTGTGACAACATTTAAAATCTATTCCTTTAGCTTTTCAAAAATTTCTATTATAATTGACTCCAGTCACCCTGCGAAATAGTATACCAGAACTTATCTCTCCTAATTATAACTTCATACCCAGTGACCCAACTTTCCTCTCTCTCTTTCTCAAATATGATCCAGCTATGCCATTACTGAATATACCCAAAAGAAATGAAGTCAGTTTATTGGAGAAACTTCCACACTCCTGTGTTTATTGAAGCACTAATCAGAACAGTCAAGATATGGAATCAATCTAAATGTCTAAACAGATGAGTGGACAAAAAAATGTGCTATAGATACACAACGAAATCCCACTCATTGATTGAAAAAAATGAAATCTTGTTATTCATGATAATGTAGATGAACCTGTAATACTAGTATGAAGTAAAATATGTCAGTCACAAAAAGACAAATAATGTACTACATGATCTTAGATGTGGAATCTAAGGAAGCTGACTTCTTTGATTCAAAGAAGAGAACAATATCTTTAGTTTGTTTTTTTTTAAGAAACACAAGAGTGTCCCTAGGAAAATGTATTTTCTGAAGTAAAAACTGGATGACTGGAATATATATATTTAATAAACAGTAAGAGTAGTTTCAATCACTTTATATAAATAAATTTGAGAAATTATTAAGAAACTAAACTGTACAGAAACACAATTTCGTAGTTAGAAGTAACCAAAAAGAGAATTCAGTCCCTAAACTTACAGACTGAAAAAAACTGTTACTCCAGTTAGTAGACAATCAAGTTTGAGCTCTCAATTCTCCTGCCTTCCAACTAGGTATTCCATTTACTGCACCACACATCATACTTGTGTTAGTGTCTTGATACAAATACAATCTCATCTATTTTTCTTCTGATTAACAGGTAATGACAAATTGATGGCTTATTTATTCCAATATAAACATGATATTATACTTAGTAATATACTATACACATTGGCTAGTGTTTTTGAGATAAGGTTTTATAATTACTAAATATTAACTATAATTCCTGTTGTCTAAAAAGTTTATTATACTTCAAATTGTAGCATAAAAAGCATCACATTCCAAGAAGCTACATGCTCACAACCTGTGGTTTTTTTCACTTTAAAGTTTAAAAATTTAAATTACACATTAAATAAATTAGCACTCAAGCTTTCATTGACTCTTTTTCCCTAAATTAAAGATGGCCAGTTACTCTGATACCGCACTATTGAACATGGTAGTCACTAGACACATGTAGCTATTAAGCACTTAATATCTAGTCTAGATTCACTTGGGCTGTAAGTATAAAATACCATATTTGCAAATTCAGGATAAAAAAGAGTTTTAAACACTGCACCAACTTAATGAGAACCTGTCTCACAACAAAACAAAACAAAATAAAATGAATTAATTAAAAATGGCTGAGGACATAGCTCAGTGCAAAGGCCTTGGATTTAATTCCTAGTACGATAAAAAGATATAATTATGAATGGCAAGCGCTTATGTGAAAAAATGCTCAATGTCACTCATCATTAGGGACATGTAAATCAAAACCACAACCAAATATCATCTGACATCAGTAAGAATGGCTATTATACAACAACAGAAATACCAAATTCTCTTAAAAATGCAGAGGAAGAGGAATTTTATCCTGGTGGTGAAATGCAAATTAGTATAGCCTCTATGGAAAACAGTATGGAGGTTCCTCAAAAAACTAAAACTAGGACTGCTATATGATCCAGCAACCCCTTTACTGGGTGTGGATCCAAAGGAAATGAAATAGTTATATAAAAGAGACACCTACATATCAATGTTTATTGCAGCACTATGCAAAATAGCCAACAAATGGAATCAACTGAGATGTCCATTAACAGATGAATGGATTTAAAAATGATACATGTAATATTATTCACTCATAAAAAGGAATGAACTTCTGTCATTTGTAAGACTATAGATGGAAATGGAATATATAATGTTAACTGAAATAAATCAGGTACAAAGAAAAATATCACCATGTTCCCATTCATATGTAGACACTAAAATATTGATCTCATAGAAGTAGAGAATGGAATAGTGGTCACCAGCGCCTTTTAAGAAAGGGTGTTAAGGAGGTGGTAAGGAGGTGAGCAGTAAGGAGAGAATGGCTACAGACTATAGAAGTGCAGGTGGACAGGAGTAAACTCTGAAACTCTAGTGCACAGTATAATAACTATGGTTTTCAATAGTTAAATGTAGTTCAAAATAGCTAGTTGAGAGGATTTTGAATGTTCCCAATGCAAAGTAATAATAAATATTTGAGGTGACAGATATGTCAATTGCCCTGATCTGATCATTACACATTGTATAAATGTATGGAAGTGTCACATTATACCCCATAGATATGTACAATTGTAATATGTCAAGTAAAATAAAAATACAACTTAAAAACTGTCTACATATGCAATCAATAGTCAATTTTTGTGCTTAAGAAAAAGTGATGTGGAAAAATACACTAAATCTGGAAATATACTTTAGTTGGCTTTAAATATGCATTCTTCCCAGATTTACATTTTTAGTTTTGGTTAATAGAGAAATACAGTGTTACCTCAGTTCATGAACTTAATTCTTTCCATGATTCTGGTCGCAAACTGAATTGGATGAAAACTGAATCAAATTCAATGTTTAGGGTTAAGGTTGATCTGATGGGGGAACTGAATCAAATTCAATAGTGTCAAGGTTGATCATATCAGGAAATTTGATTCAGTTCTCATCCAATTTGGTTTGGGACCAGAATCATGGGAAGAATTAAGTTCATGAACTGTGGTTCCACTGAAGTTTTATACACCTTGAACCCATTTAAATTGATAAGGAAGAATGGTAGGCCAGAAGCACGGCAGACAAAAGTCAGTCTATGCCTAATTTAATCTATAGATATGAACTGAGCTAATTAAAACAAATGCCAACACAACACCATACTCTGCAAATATACAACAGAACATAACGAAGAGTTTAGCAATTGAACATGAATGCAACAGAATAAAACATATAACGTACCTTTGCTCCATCTGAAATATTGTCCCAGTTTCCACCACTCAAAGAGAACTTTCCATTGCCTATACGCAGCAGTATCTCTTCAGGAGTATCATTGGGTCCATTAGCAAATGGAGTGTAGCTATAAATAAAATAGATTTTAATACATATGAGAGGATAATATACATCTAAATATCACTGATTATTAAAAAAACTATATAAAACATTTACTGGAGCAAATTAAGAACAACATATATTTTGCTTCACTGTTAGTATCAAATTTTACATTTTAAACAATGAACTCAATCCTAACAAACTATTTTAAAAAATGGAGAAATTTGCCCACATCAATCCTTTGGTCTTTGATCAGTTACACAATGTAAAATAAGGACAACTTTTCATGTAAACCTAGTCTTAAAACCAGACTGCAGTAAAGCACACAATTTTCTATTTTCCCGGGCATAAATTAACAAATAAATATATCTACTATGAAGAAAGTGTTAATTTTACATATTTATAATGTATTGTATTGGCTCAATTTATTCATTAATATTTTATTTTAACAATATTATTAGTGCAATTATGTAAACAATATTTTCAATTAATATTATAAAATGAGCTGGTTAAACATTGATATCAATGCAATAAAGATTTCATAGTTATTAAAATTATAATATAGGCCAAATTATCCAAGGATGGGAAGATATGTTAAAGTAGTTTTAGAAAATAATTATAGAATGAGAAAAAGTAATCATTTTTATGAAAGAACTGAAGCTGATATTCAAATATGGGAATTTGAAGACTGATTTATGGATAAAAATTTGAGGAAGGGAATGAATCAATACCTTAATTCCCTCATATAACATTAAGTTGAGAAAATACTAAATACACACAAATCTATACAACCACTTCTTTTTTAGTCATGATGTAAATATTTGAAAGTGGTAAGCTAGAAATACAACACTATGGTTTAAAATCAACAAGAGTCATTGCATTTACATGTAAACTACTTGTTCAGTAGTTTCAAATTAAATATTCTGCATAACTTCATAGAATCTAAAAAGGCACACAAAATACATTAATATATATACTTATGATGAATTAATAAAGTCATCAGTTTTGTAACATATTCATATGTGTAAATTTTATAATTCTACATACATAAAATTAAATTTGATTAATTAAAATAAAGAATAACTAAATATATTATATTTGCATGCTAACCTGGACTTTTTCTTTGTAAGAATAATCTCTCTTTTTTTTTTACTTAAATTCTTTTATTAGTACATTTTAGGTATGCAATACATTTACATTTATCTTTGGGTGCTTGTACCTGTACATGACATATCCTGTTTCTTATTTTTTCCCCATTATCTGTGTGCCCTTCACCCCTCCACCCTTCCCTATTTACATACTTCATTTCCATTTTTTTTTTCTTTTCTCATAAATTTTCCTTTCCATACTTTCCTTTCCCCATCGCCTCCCACCACCCCTACCCCTTGGGATATTTTCCTATTTCAAAGTATCAATTATTAGTTATTAATCCCTTCAGTCCATATTTACACTATCAGTTTCTCACACTAGAGAAACTATTAAGTATTTACACATGTGTGGCTTATTTATTTCACTTAAGAGGATGGCCTCAATATGCATCCATTTAGCTATAAATGACCCTAGTTTCTCGTTATTTATGGCTGAATAGTACACCATTTTTTTAAAAAAAAACACATCTTTTTTATCCCGTTTCCAGGTGATGGGCATTTGGGCTGTTTCCAAGCTTTAGCTATTACAAACTGTGCCACAATAAACATGGGTACACATATATCTCTGTGGTATGATTCTTTTAATTCTTTTGGGAAAATACCCAGCAGGGAAATAGCTGGGTCAAATGGGACCTCCAGTCCTAGTTCTTTGAGGTATTTCCACACTGATTTCCATATTGGTTGCACCAGTCAGCACTCCCACCAACAATGGAGAGGGGTTCCTTTCTCTCCACACCCCTGCCACCATTTGTTATTGGTTGATTTCTTGATAGCAGCCACAACTTCTGGGGTGAGGTGGAATCTCAGTGTTGTTTTCATTTGCGTCTCCCGAATGACCAGTGATGTTGAACATTTTTTCATATGTTTATTTGCTGCTTT